ATTAAAGTTGATATATATGAGGGAATCTCAATATAATTTTAATATATAAAAGTTCTTTGTATAGCCTAGGTTGATATTAACGGGGTTGATATTAACGAGGGACGACTGTACAAAATCTATTTTTTTGCAAATACTCGCCAAATACTAATCAGAATTAAATAATTTTTATACTATTCGATTCGAATCGAATGGTATAAAAATATCCAATTAAATCATGGTTAAATTAAATATTGTTTTAATTCGTCTATACGATAATAATAAAGACCGGGACCGGACGGTAAAAAAATGATTCTCAGTCCTTGGTCCGTAATCGTTCGTCCTGGTCCCGATTACGGTCTTACGATAAATTACTGATAAAAACATTGATAAATTAATATATATAAAGAAAATAAATTGTAACAAATAATAGAATTTGCATTCTCCATAGCAAGTACACTATTTCAACTACAAGAAATAGATTAGATGACGACTCTGCAAGAACAATACTATGTTTAAAAGGCTGGCTTCAAAGGGGGAATTTGCAAATTAGGTGGTTAAATATCAATGTAGTTAATTCTTAATATTAAATTAGCTTCGCGTATGAATTTGCAAATTAAATATCTATTATATTTAATTAGTTTCGCGTACGAATTTGCAAATTAGATAGTTAAATATCTGTAGTTGATTCTGAATATTAAATTAGCTTCGCATATGAATTTGCAAATTAGTATATAATTCTTAATATTAAATTAGCTTCGCGTATAAAAAATATATATTTAAAAATTTGTCAGCTAATAAAATAATTATAAATCTTTTAGGACCGAAAGACGGACTGACCGAACTAATCACAGCTGTTCTCTGGGACAACTGATTGTTTCGGCCGAATCCAAAAACTTATCGAATTCGGCCGAAACAATTTTTATCAGAATTTATGAGAACAGCTATCATACTATAAAATCGGTCCAAAGGGGACCGAGATCGACCGGGACGGACCGATCCATCCCTACTTAAAATGTCGTGAACTTATTTAAAATCTAACTTTCTATAGAAATCAAAAAAATTATATTTGGCAACAAAAAATATACATTTGTTAATTTTGTTTTTGATTTGATCTTCGATCACTTGCGTTATTAGTAAACTTCAAATAACAAATAATGTGTAATAATTGTTTTCTTAAAAGAACTTTCGTAACTCGTCCGTGCATTATTGCAGTTTTTTTTTTTTCAACAATACACATAACTTGTATCAGACATGTTTACACCACATCGCGAGCATTTATGATGCTGATTATCAAAAAAAGTAAACAGGTTATATAAATGGATCATAAGTAGAACAATGTAACGGTGAGTGAGGCGTGATGTAGTGGAACTTGATTTTAAGGACACAAAAAAAAATTTTTTTTTGAATGATTCTTTTTCAAAGGTTTTGAGCGAGATGAATTTCTCAACCATAACGATAAATGTAAAATCCATAATATATTTTCACTTCACAAATTAATCCTTTAATTTATTATTTAGATTAAAACTCCATTGCCAAGATTTTTTGATCATTTATCTTGATTACCTTTTGACTGGGAACACCTCAAAGAATCGCTATCAAAGCACCACATACGGGGCAGTAGTTTCCTTAAATTACTTGCTCAACTTATTGCTTTGGGGAAAGTCCTCGGACATATGGCAGAAAGTGTCGTCCATAATGTGGCATTACCATTCGTTGGGACTTTTATGCCAAAGAAAGAGTTTACTCTTGAGGCTTTGGGGTTGTCACGATTGGTTTCGTTGGTCATAGCACAGTTATGCGATTGTGGTCTCTTCTGATCTTTGAAGATAGGGAGGTCATAACTTAACGAGGCTTACTCTTGGGGTGTTCCCGCATTATTTCAATAATTCTCAAATTTTGGTAAAACAAATACAAGTTTTTCCTGGTGACATAACATGATAGTAAATTAGGTATGTAGCAATAATTAATATAATTAAATAGTGTTTCTGTTATGGAAATTATTGACTCTTTCGAGTAAAACTTTCGTTTCAAATATCATTTCTTGATTTGGAATTATTGTGTTAAAACTCTTTTCGAACATCTCGTTAATTACTTGATCTTGAATCTTGCTTAGCTTGTAGGGTAACACTAATGACCTACGTCGATTGTTAGGTTAAAAAAAAAAAACAAACTAATGTATATATGATTGATTTCATTATCTTCTAGGTGATATGATCAGGGATTTTCATCTCAATGGAAATTTGTATATGGATCGTATAATCTTTCCCTTTCTTTTTTTGTTTTACATGTTTCGTTATTTTATCTAACCTTTTTTTTTAAGAAAAGGTCTTGGGTGATGTTAATTAAGGTGAAGTCAGTGATGTTCGAAAATAATTTCTTTTGAAACCTTAATTATAGGTAATTCAAGCTATATACTATTCTTTATCTTTTCTATAAATATATATATCTTTATATTTATATTTATATATTTACTTAATTTCTATAACATTCATATTTGCTACAAAACTTTAGTTGGACACAGAGTGTTAATACACCCCGAATTTGCGGTAAAATCGCTGGCGAAATGAAATAGAACTAAAGCGGTGAAATAATTTCACTACTATTGGTGAAACTGGTATTGAATTGATGGAATTAATTTCACAAACATTTCTAGTTAAGAGAAAATTTTTAATAAAAATCTAATATCCAATATAATATTTCTAAGAGGATAGGACTGTTTTAAGCAATTGACTAATCTGCTGTTAATGAAAAAGATAAAGAACAGTGTTGTGTATATTTTTGCTCTTTTTAAATACAATATCCTATTAAGTAGGATATATATATATTTTTTTTTTCATTATGGTTCCGATGATATAAATAATAAGCGTTTTGTGATTCATTGACTTCCTCAAAACAATCATTTGATTAATAAATATTCAAATGTGAGTAGATGGAATTAGAAGTTCAGACTAATTTTGTTATTAATAAAATTTATCTTAATATCGATATATCAAATAAATGTGGATACTGGTTATATATTGTTATCATTATGTTTAAGTAGATTGTGTTACAATAGATTGAAATTAGCCGTACAGAAAGCTACACGTTTACGTGAAAAAATTTTATAAGATCAATACGATTATAGCAAGTTTGTAATAGTTGCCACCTGCACAATGAATTTTGAAGAGATCGAAGAACAAGACGGAACAAGGTTTTCTTGGAACGTCTTCCCCGCCTCTCGTTTAGACGCAACAAGGATCGTTGTGCCTATATCATGTCTTTATACCCCACTTAAGGAAAGAGAAGATCTACCGCCAATTTATTACGAACCCGTTACTTGCAGGCCACCCTGTCGTGCAATTTTAAATCCATACTGGTATGTTGAATTTAATTTATTCGGATTTTACACGCTCTCTGATATTTCTGACTATCCAAGTTTATCAGTCAAATTGATGTTCGCGGGAAGCTTTGGATATGCCCTTTTTGTCTTCAGAGAAATGCGTTTCCTCCTCATTATAAGGATATTTCCAACACTAACCTTCCCGCCGAGTTGTTGCCAAAGTATACTACCATTGAATATACCCTCAATCGTGCAGCTCAAGTTCCTCCAATATTTTTGTATGTAGTAGATACTTGCCTCGAAGACGATGATCTGAAGGCATTGAAAGATTCTCTGGTTGTTAGCTTGAGTTTATTACCACCCCATGCATTAGTTGGCTTAATTACTTTTGGTACAATGGTATAGACTCATTTTCTCGTTATGTTATATTTTAACAATTGCGATATAATAATAAAGTTCTCATTAATAAATAGGCACAAGTTCACGAACTTGGATACAGCGAATGCCCTAAATCTTATGTCTTTCGCGGAACAAAAGAATATTCATCTAAACAAATTCAAGAAATGCTTGGTTTGGGTGCACAAACTTTACGCGCTCAGACACAACGACCAGGTCAACCTGGAGTTACTCAGAATCCTGGTGCTGCCAGGTGAGCCGTAAACTATAATATCTCTTTCTTTCATTGTTATTTTTATTAACATATATATATATATATTTATTTATTTAACAGATTTCTTTTACCAGTTCAGCAATGTGAATTTACCTTGACGTCCATCCTAGAACAACTTCAACGTGACCCATGGCCTGTTGCAAATGATAAACGACCTCAAAGATGCACAGGTGTTGCAATGAGCGTTGCCATTGGATTAATGGAGGTCTTTATAAATTTCTATCGTTTAGTTTAATTATTTACTTTTATTCTTACTAATTTATTAAATTATTTATTAGACCACTTTTCCAGCAGCAGGAGCGCGTATAATGCTTTTCTGCGGTGGTCCGGCTACTGAAGGTCCTGGTATGGTTGTAGGTAACGAATTGAAAGAACCTATTAGATCCCATCATGATATTGAGAAGGATAATGTTAAATATTATAAAAAAGCTACCAAGGTATGCTTTTTATACAACTACGATAGTAGATATAGCGTTAGAAATTGACGATATACTGATATTTTCTCTTTCAGTTTTATGACGCACTTGCTAAACGTAGTTCAGCAAATAGTCATATTGTTGATATTTTTGCTGGATGCCTTGATCAAGTTGGATTACTTGAAATGAAATCTATGGTGAATTCGACTGGAGGATATATGATTCTTTCCGATTCTTTTACCACATCCATTTTCAAACAAAGCTTCCAAAGAGTTTTTAATAAGGATGCTCAAGGTAATTTACAAATGGGATTTAACGCAACACTGGATGTACAGGTATTTATTTATGTTTGTTATACGATTAATATTAATATACTGTTTTAAAAAAAGAGAATTTATTTACACATAGACTACCAGAGAAATGCGAGTTTGTGGGTTGATTGGTCATGCTATCTCTGGAAATAAAAAAAGTGCATCTGTAGCTGAAACTGAAATTGGTATAGCGAACACATCTGCATGGAAAATGTGCGGGATCACACCAAAGACGACCGTTGCGGTATATTTTGAGGTTGTCAGTCAGCATGGTCAACCACTCCAACACAATAATCGGGGTTTAATTCAATTTGTGACACATTATCAACATTCCAGCGGACAGTTCCGCTTGCGTGTTACCACTGTTGCCAGAAACTTTGCTGATGGGGGTAATCCTCAAATTGCTCAGTCTTTCGATCAAGAGGCTGCTGCTGTACTTATGGCACGTATAGCAATTTTCAAAGCAGAGATTGACGATGGACCAGATGTTTTGAGATGGTTGGATCGTATGCTAATTCGACTATGTCAAAAATTTGCCGATTACCGTAAAGAGGATTCCTTATCATTCCGACTTGCTGAAAACTTTTCTATATATCCACAATTTATGTTCCATCTTCGAAGAAGTCAATTTTTACAAGTATTCAACAATAGTCCAGACGAAACGGCATTTTACAGGTAAAATTAAATTAAGCGTAAAATTTTTTAAGATGTAAATTATTTATTAAACTGACAATTTATTTTATAGACATGTATTAAACAGGGAAGATGTAAACAACTCACTCATAATGATTCAACCTACACTAATGTCATACGGATTTGATACATCACCGCAACCAGTACTTTTAGATTCAGTTTCTATAAAACCGGACGTTATCTTGTTGCTTGATACATTCTTCCACATTCTTATTTTCCATGGAGAGACAATTGCACAATGGAGAAAGGCTGGATATCAGGATCAAAGCGGTTACGAGAATTTTAAAGAGTTGTTAGAAGCACCAAAAACTGATTCAGAGGTATAAATATATATAAATATATATATATATATATATTTATTTATTATTTTATTTATTGATAGTTTGATAATAGTGTTTTGACTTTTTTTTTTTTTTTTTTTTTTTTTTGTAGGAACTTTTGGTAGACCGTTTCCCAGTTCCTCGATATATTGTTTGTGACCAACATGGTTCTCAAGCACGTTTTCTTCTTTCCAAACTTAACCCTTCAACTACTCACGTTTCTGGAGGCATGTATGGAACACCACAAGGTCAAGCAATTTTCACAGATGATGTCAGTCTACAAGTATTTATGGAACATTTAAAGAAGTAGGTATAATTTTAATATTTGAATATGAAATACATTTTCTAATTACTTGATTTTTAAATTTAGATTGGCAGTGAGTGGATCCTCCTGAGGAATTAAGGCATTATTTTTTTTTAAGGTCTAAAGGGGGGTTTGAACTTTATGGGTGTATTAATTAGGAGAATTTCTTTTTTAGATTCTTGTTTTAACTAAAAAAAAAAATAATAATAAATATTTTAATGTTTTTTTATATTTATAACAATAATTATCTCTGCTAGCATGGTCATATCCGTTATTAGAGATAGTCTAAAGCCAGGTATATAATTTTTAAATTGATTACTAATCGATTTGTAAATTAAAAGTCACGTGCCACATATAAAATACTATCTACGCACAAGGTTTTAGGCGACCTCCGTTAGGAGAAACATTGATTGTGGATTTAACTTGGATCTGGGTCAAAATCCCGACAAGTTAGCTCGCACTAATTGTAGTTCCGGTCAATTTTGCCGGGATTTTGACTCAGAAACATATTTCACATGAAATTTTTATTATCTACTATGCGAAGTTGTATTTAGAGTTGTGTTACGAAAGTTACAATCCTACGATACATGTATTTTTATATAAATTTCAGTAAATCAAATTTCATGTAATTTTTATCATGTTAAATATATCTTTACAGAAGTTTGGCCTGCATTATTGTATCATTTTATTTGAACGTATATCGATATGATTACAATTGCGTGAAAAATTGATTTACAGAAACTTACTGCAAAATTACATAAATTACGAAATTCAAATTCGAAGAATAGTTTATTTTATCTATAAATATGTAGTATGTAATCGAATAAAAATGTTTTATCAGACTTAGATGGTGCCGGAATATATTCATTTAAATCTGTGAAATCTTTATAACTTTTAGGACGATTTAACTTTAAAAAATTTGATATCTAGATATCTTAACCATATAATTAAATTCGATAACGATACAAGTTTAATAAATGTTTAATATGTAAAAAAAAATTTTTTTTATTTAACAACAAAAAATATACAAGAAATTATTAAATCAAAAATAGCTAAATCTAATTTTATTCGCGTAGCTTCCATTTTTTTTTTTTGATTTTTACAATTCTGCATCTGGAGGGCCTTTTGTGTGAGCAAAAGAAGTTCGTGATCATTGGGAAGACATAGTCAATCCCTTCTCTAAATTCAGAATCAGCAGACACTCAAAAAATCTCAGGGTTTAAAATTACGCGCCCCGTTTTGGGTCGTTACTTCTTTCTGCAAGACGGGGTGTAATTTTATTTATTTTCCGTTTCCCCATATTTTTGGCTTTCTAAAAGACAAACGTTTTCATGCAATCCTTACTTCTTTATTTGTTTCTTATTTTTAGCCTTCCCAAAAGTAAGGCAAACGTTTTCATACAATCATCAATCTCCTTATTTCTTTATTCGTTTTTTATTTTTAACCTTCTAAAAGTAAGACAAACGTTTTCATACAATCATCAATCTCCTTATTTCTTTATTCGTTTCTTATTTTTAACCTTCTAAATGTAAGACAAACGTTTTCATACAATCATCAATCTCCTTATTTCTTTATTCGTTTC